AGGAAATGTGTCACTGAAATCATCCTTTTTGTTAATAGAGATATTATTTTATAGGGAAACCATGGCAGGCATTTTGGGGACATCAAATACAGCATCACTAATATAACTAGAGCAAAAGGTTTGACTTGAGAATAAGAATCCAAAAGAGAATTAGAAACACATTGTTTCCTTAACTTTAGACTCTGGAGAAGTCAAGGAAGGAATTTAATTTAAGGGCTATTTCTGTCGGGGAATTTGGTCATGTCAGAAAAGCTGCAAGTCAGAGGGAAAATTCAGTGAAATAAAAGGAAGCTTGTTGTGTAACAATACTATTAAAATGTCAGCACCCTTCTTGGAGGTAGACCCAGGCAGTCCAGATGAAAGCGGGGAGGTTAAAATGTCACATTGCTTAGCTAAGGGGAACCGCACTCCCAGCCATGCTATTTGACTTCTGGTTACTTTTCTCCATAATTCAGGTTATTTATATGCCTTGAATCAAAACAAGGCCAAGATGGCTCAAGAATAGACTGGCTCATTCTCGGTTTGTAGGAGTATTAAGTTGGGACTTATACTTTTCATTCCGCTTCTTTTTTTTTTTTTAATAGCTTAATAATTTTGTCATAAACCACCTCAAATCCTAACTGGAACCATGTAGTGTCTAACTAAAATAAAAATGTTGTTGCTGTCAGATTAAACACATGACTCTCCAGTTGCAAATCCTTCAGTAGCTCCCCCTTACCACAAAATTCAGAACAAACTTCTCTGCCCTGAATGCTAAAGTCTCTGTGTCAGGCTCTAACTGCCTCACTAGTTCTTTCTCACTGTTCTCTGTATGGAAATGACAACCTTCTCAAAGGCTATGTCTTCCAAGAAGAGTGTACTGGTTCTAGCCTCCAAACCAGACCTCCTCTTCTGCATTCACAAGTGCTTGCCTGTCTTGCCTGTCTTCTGGGCATCCCTCTCATTTTGTCTTGAGATATATAAATATATATATATATATATATGTACATATATATATATATATATATATATATATCTTTCCATTCATCTCCCCCTATATTGTAGGGTCTTGGGGGACAAGAACTGGGGCTACTTATCTTTGTGATCCCCTGAGTACTGAGAATAATACCTTGATGTATGTTGATTGATGGCAGGTCACACGCAAAAAAACTTTTACAAGGATATTATCAAGAGATTTGTGCCCAACCATTCATGGAAATTGTCTGTGGAAATTGTTTAAGCCACCAGGGATAGGAAGTCCACAACTGCCAAATCAGCCTACTTTTTAATCTAATAACTTACAGGACAAAATTTCCATTATTTTGGCAAACAGAAGTACAATGTTTCTGCAATTTTTATTCATTATCTCTAATTTTATTTTATTTTTTGAGATGGGGTCTTACTCTGTCATCCAGGCTAGTGTGCAGTGGTATCATCATAGCTCACAGCAATATCAAACTCTTGGGCTCCTGTGATCCTCCTGTCTCAGCCTCCTGAGTAGCTGGGACTACAAATGTGTGCCACCACATCTGACTAATTTTTAATTTTTGGTGGAGGAAGGGTCTTGCTATGTTGCTCAGGCTGGTCTCGAACTCCTGGCCTTAAGCAATGCTCCTGCCTCAGCCTCCCAAAGTGCTAGAACGACAGGCATGAACCAATGTACATGGCCTCTAATTTTAACTTTCATAGAGTTAAAAGCTAACTTTAAATCAAAATCAAAATGCTAGTAGAAAAGTTTGGTCTGGATAAGAAAAAATCACCCCCTGCCAACACACACACACACAAACTCAAAGATTCAGCTTTGAGGTGAGCAGGAAACCATTGTGTGCATTTAAAAATTGTTTTCCTATTTAAAAGCAAGGCTCATAGTTTACTCCACAACTCATTTGACAAAGGATACCAAACAGCTCCAGTTCTTCTTGCCAAATAAAGATGCATACTCAGGCTATTAAAGGATAACCTGAAGAGATCTTATTTATTTTCTCTACCTTACTCCCAAAAGGATTTGTGTTGGCTTTACACAAATGTACATGATATATCAAACTAAAAACAAATAGACAAAAAGAGAGGGCACAGGGAAAATAAGGGTAGAATAGTAAGATAAAGACAATAGTAAAGTTAGTGTGCAGAAATGTATGCCAGAAATTCTTGAACTTCTAAATTTGGCTCTGAGTTTCCTAGGGACCAAGGCAAAGAAGGGAACACAATTAGCTATAAATTTCATAGTGTGTTTAAAATTAAAACCTAGTTCTTTAGTGCCTGGATGCCAGAGACTGCACCCCACCTCTCAGTGGTTCTCTTTATTTAAGGTCAGTTGATCTGGTGCCTGCTATGGTGGGCTACTTGGGCTTGAAATCATAAGGAGCCCTCAGTTAAGCCTGTGGTCCAGCTGTCCTTAAGTACAATGCCCATTCTTTTCACGAGTCAACCCAATGAGGCTAGCTTTGTAGAAAGATCAGACGAATTCATGGCAGCATCGCATGCAAGATTATCAGCAGTGGTCACGGTAGTAAGAGTGACCATCAACAAAGACCCTAGAAAAGTGGAAAGCAGCAAAACAGTCTTTAACATCATCTTGGCAATTGCCACCTTCCCTCTTCCTGCCCTCCACAGACCATGATGCTCTCTGGTGCCTAATGCCCCACTTTGTTCCCCCCAGAGCCCTCTGCCAAGTGCCCCTGGCTCCGCATTGCCTCTGTTCTCTCTCAGATACTTATTAAGAGGCAAGCCGGGTAAGTAAAATCATTAATACAATGATGTGCATGACTAATATATAAGCCTCCCAGGAATAGGTTTTATTTTTTAAGAGTAGCTTTTTAACCTACTTAAAACTCTAATTAACTGACTAGAGGATTGATTGATTAATAGATTGTCTGTGAAGAGCAGAGTTAGAGATTTTTAAACAATAGCACTTTCTCTGTGTCTCTTGAACCTTTAGTGACCACTTTGTCATCCATCAAAGGCAACTTGACCTTGAGTTTAAAAAAATTTACAACCATTGCCCTAGTGGTATGTAAAACACAGTGGAGTCACTTAAGCCAATTAACTCTCTAAGCTTCAATCTTAATTTATAAAGAAGAATAATCATAGAAGTTACTTTAGGAAATTTGGATATGTAAGTAACAGGCATATGGGGGTACTTTCTCCTCCCTCTTTTCCTGTCATTCACCCTGCCTCCCTCCTGCTCTTGTCAAATGCAACAACATGTTTCATGCCTGAAATCATATGTCCTTAAGAGCACATTTCCTCCCACCCTGCCTGCAGCTGCTGTTTCTGGAAAGTATATGGCATACATAGCGTTGGCTCATGCATATCATTCCACCATCCACCTTCCACCCATGTCTTTGCTATTGGTGTTATCTCATAATTAAGGCTGTCAGCCTGCTAGTAGGCTGGTTGTGCCAAGAAGTTAGATGTGGGTTGCTAACCGCTCAACACTCAAGTTGTATGGTACATGCCACCTGCCCCAGACTGCTTTGTCCTGCATCACCTTGACAATGGGAGCAGAACCAGCAGCAGCAATCAAGGGAAAGCACTTTGTGGTGCTTTGAAAGGCTGGCCAGTTGTGGTGGCTCACGCCTGTAACCCAGCACTTTGGGAGGCTGAGTCAGGAGGATCGCTTTAGCTCAGGAGTTTGAGACTAGCCTGGGCAACACAGTCAGACCCTATCTCTATAAAAAACAAAACAAAATAAAATTAGCCAGGCATGGCAGGTACCTGTAATCCCAGCTACTTGGGAGACTGAGGCAGGAGGATCATTTGAGCCCAGGAATTTGAGGTTGCTGTGAACTATGATGATGCCACTGCACTCTAGCTAGGGCAACATAGCAAGACCCTGTCTCAAAAAACAAACAAAAGAATTAAAAGGAAAAAAAATGACCCATTCACTGGTGAATTCTATTTTTTAATAATTTTTTCTTTAATTCTTTTTCAAAGACATTCTAGTTGTCACACTGGTGAATTCTATCAAACATTTAACAAAGTAATAATATTGGCTTTATACAAAATCCTTCAGAAAAAACACTTCACATCTTTTGTTATGCCAGCAAAACCCTAATATCAAAATCTGATAAAGGCATTAAAAGAAAAGAAAATTAAAGATCAATATGTCATAAACATACCATTAAGAAAATGAAAAGCAGGATGGGCACGGTGGCTCACACCTACAATCCTACCACTCTAGGAGGCAGAGGCGGGAGGATTGCTCAAGGTCAGGAGTCCCAGACCAGCCTGAGCAAGAGTGAGACCCCATCTCTACTAAAAATAGAAACAAATTAATTGGACGACTAAAAATATAAAGAAAAAATTAGCTTGGCATGGTGGCGCATGCCTGTAGTCCCAGGTACTTGGGAGGCTGAGGCAGTAGGATCTCTTGAGTCCAGGAGTTTGAGGTTGCTGTGAGCTAGGCTGACGCCACGGCACTCTAGCCTGGGCAACAGAGTGAGACTCTGTCCCAAAATAAAAAAGAAAGAAAGAAAGAAAATGAAAAGTTATACAGACTGGAACATATTCATAAAACATGTATCTGACAAAGGTCTTGTATCAGAATATATAAAAGAACTATAGAGCTATAATATAAAAATGAACAGCCCAGTTCTTTTAAAGGGAAAAATATTTGAGCAGAGATTTCACAAACGAAAGTATACAACTGATAGCATGTGAAAAAGTGATCAACCTCATTAATCATCAGGGAAATGCAAATTTAAAAGATGATGAGATGCCACTGTATATATGCCAGAATGGCTAAAATTTAAAAGACTGATAAAGCTAAATGTTACCAAAGATGTAGAATACCTTGAATTTTCATATGTTGGTATATAATGTTGAAATTATAGGTTGGACTATAAAATGATTCAGTCACTTTGGAAAATGGTTTGACAGTATCCTATAAAACTAAAATTAGAACCACACTTTGACCTAGCAATTCCATTCCTAGGTATTTATCCAAGGGAAATGAAAACATACTCCACAAAAAGGCTTGTGCAAAAATGTTCATAACGGCTTTTATTTTTCACAAACAGTCAAAAGCTGGAAGCAAATCAATGTCCATCAACCAGAGAATGGATAAGCAAATCGTAGCATGTTCTTACAATGGAACAGAGCTCAGAGCAATGGAGTAGGAACTCCTCACCAGCATGCACAGATGCACAAATAGCGCGGTGAGTCAAGACAGATTCAAAGGGGCACATGAATGGTTCCACTTACGTGAAGTTCTACACCAGGCAAAAACAATCAAAAGTGAAAAAATGAAATCTGTGGCTGCCTCTGAATGGGAAAGGAGTAGAAGGAGAGATGAGGGAATTTTTCTGGGGAGATGGAAATATTCTATATTGTGATGAGGTATAGGTTACAAGTGAGTATTCACTTGTCAAAATTGTATAGTTAAGATTTGTGCATCGTAATGTGTAGAAATTTTACCTAAAAGAACCAACAGTAAAAATTAAAATAGTTCTGTATCTGGGATGGGGGTGGGTAGAGATACAGATCAAACAATAATGGCAGAATATTGATAATTATTGAAGCTAGGTGTTGGGTACATGGAGGTTCGTTATATTTTATTCACTTTGTATGCATTTGAAATTTTCTGTAATAAAAGTTTTAAAATAACTGATATATAATTCCTTTTGATGACAGTAAGAACCACTGAGCATTATCTAGTATATTTAATTGGCTGTAAGTTAAAAATGAGAAATTAAGTGGCTTATACCATGAACGTATTTCTCTTTATTTCTTGGATCATTTTCATTTGTTTCAATGTTTAAAAATAGAAGAGAGGTCATTAGTATAATGTGGTGGTAGTATTGAGCTTTGTAACTAACATTTTTTCAGATAACAGGTGAAAAAATTTTGGTTTTATTTGAAAATTCACAAATCTTCACATCAGCAACTTGTATGAGAATATATTTGATAAACCCAAAACATTAAATTGTCTAATTTAAAAAAAATTCACTGAACTTAACACTTTGAAACATTTAAGGTGGTAAATTTTATGTTATGTATATTTTACCACAATTTAAAAAAAATTATATAAGCAAAAAAAAAAAAATTCCAATGAAGAGATGAAATGGTTTTCTTTTTCTCCCACATCCTCAACATCTATTTCTCTTATGCTAAGATGCCACATGGTACTCATTATTGTCGTTCCTGGAAATAAAAGACTTAGAAAATATTTCAAATAATAGTCCTCAAGTTCCCAACAAGCAAAGATCTGGAACACCAATATTCCCTGAAATTTATAAATATAAATGTTTTGAACAGTTGATTCATCTGGAAACTACTTGGTGAGTTTGTTTAATTTTAGCAGCTTGTTTTATATTGGCCTTTTTATTTCATAATTTAAACACTCCAATTTTGACGAGGAGAGCCAAGGAGAAGAAATAGAATGGATTTCATGTATAAAGAGCACTTCAGTATAAATTCATTAGAACAACTCTTAGAGAAAGAGGTAGGAAGTATAAAACTGGATTTTCATAAGGTTCTAACTGGGATTTTCTTTAAGTGTGTAAGCTTTCACACTGGAATGTTTCTAGCTGGCTACTGGAGAGGTTTTGAAATCTCTGTTTCCTGGAAACATGGTGGTTTTAGAAACAGAACAGATATTCCTCCAGGGCAACTTTGGGCAACCAGGCAGCTGGAAAAACTCAGCAGTCTCAGCCAGACACCAGGGCTAGAATGGGAGTTCTCTGGGATGAATGAACACCCACCACTATTTTCTATCCTGAGCAACTTGCTTGGAGATGTAAAGTCTTGAGAGAAAGAGTCCGACTGAACTTAGGTTTTGATCCTGCCCCTGGCTGCTCCGTGGATGACAGTGAGTATGTACCAGAAAGAACTTTTGGGAACCTCTCCAGCCTTCTCAGTGACAGGGCAAGTTGTTTCCAATTACTGAACATAACAGAGGAAAGAAAATTCCACAAAAGGCAATTGCAGAGGGAGAATGGCTGCTGGATCCACTTGTGAGAGGGAAAGCTGTTCAGAAGGGACTTCCCAAATGTGGCCTCACTTTACATCCATTTTATTTTCATTGATGCACATTCATAGGCTGCTCGGGCCCCAGGAGATGCCTTATGTTCCTGCCTATCACAAACATCCTTGCGGTGCTGGACACAGAGGGAGTAGATCAGGATGCTTTGGGCTGCAAGTAACAGGAAAACCTCATCTAAAGTGCCCAAACAATACAGAAAGGTATTGTCTCACAGAAGTAACTCTGAGATAGGATGAACACAGGGTGGGTGACTCAGTGGCCAACTAATGTTGTCAAGGATCCATATTAGTTCCATCGTTCTGCTCCGCTGTTCTAAGTGTTTCAGTCACTGGGTGGCTGCCGCAGCTCCAGGCTTCGAATCCCCACACACCACCATCCAGAGGCAGAACAAAGGAGTTATTTTGTTAATTATTCTTTGTGTCTCTTTTTAAGAACTAAGAGACCGTTCCTGGAAATCCCTCAGCAGACGTGTCTTCATGACTCATTGGTGACAACTGAGTCACAGGTCTCTTTCCTGAGGGGAAGAGGGAAGGGGAATTTCCATGATTGGCTTAATCAGGATAGCTGGGAGTGGGGCCAGCCTTCCCAAAAGCTATGGCCACAAAGAGTAAAGTGGACAACTGGACAAATTTGGCTAAAGTTTTGTTAGAAAATGGTGGACAGTCATCAAATTTTTGGCTCCCCATATTTGAGGAATTCCCCACACTAAGAGTCTTGCCCACCAAAGATGGAAGCAGAACTCGCCTTCCCAGTCGGCAGGTGTGTTTGGGTGCATGTATGTTACCTAGCCTTCTCCAATCAGACACACCTACCTAAGACTTGACTTCAAAACCGAGCAAAGTGAGGAATTGGTGCCAGGCAGAATCCCTTGTCCCATGAAGGTGGAGGAGCATCAAGGAGAGGCAGTCCAGAGGCCTCAAACCTTCTTTTCCAGCTCTCCTGGGGCTTCTATGAGTGCCTATGTCCCTGAATAAATTTCTTCCTGCCTTAAACTAGCTTGAGTGAGTTCTGTTGTATTACCAGGAACTCTGCAAGGAAGAAGTGAAGAATGGCTGCTGGGTAGGCCAAACTGTGTCTGCTAGACACACAGCGTCGCAAAACACCAAGGGAGCCCTCCATGTACCACTTATGGAGAATAAAATAGGAAAGATGCCCCGGAAGTTGTACCCTGATGCCAAACTCAGCTTCTCTACTGCCTCCTTTACTGTGCCTCCCTGGTGTTGGCTCACAGACTTTATTCTGGAAGTCTGTCCTCACCCTCTCTCTCCTTAAGCCTTTCCACGGAATGTTTTGACACCCTGAGAGTCTCCCCTTCTGGCCTAATGGGTAGGTAGGACTTAATACTGTGTGGAAGAAATCACAGAGCTGTCTAACCAAGCCAAGCCTAGCATAAATTTATAAGTTTTAAAAAAGAAAATGTTGTATGTGCTTGACTTTGTATCTTCTCACATGTAACTAAAAAGCAATGTATCTACCCTGCAATTTATTTAACATTTTTATTAAACAAAAAAAACATTGTGGCAACATTGATGATACTTTATATAACAGAAGGGAAAACTGCATTTGCAGCTCTGCCCCTCCTCCTGCCTCCACAGAGCTATTTGTGCCTCTAACATTGTATTATTTGCGTATCTCAATGCCTCTACTTTGCTTTTATATTCACTAAGTAAGTACAATATAGTTTTAACTAACCATTACCACCCTCACTAGGTAGATAGTAGGCTTCTAGCTTATAAACATTCTTATATTAATTTTGTATTAAGCAGGCATAAAATATTATCTTTGGGATAATGCAAATCATTGAATCATAAATATTTCTAATGGCTTTGCATTGCCATCAGCAATGTGTGAACAAGTCTCACTACACCATTGCCAGCAATGGATATGTTTTAAATATTTTATCGAATAGAAGCAAAATGGAATCTTACTGATGTTTTATTTTGCAGATTTTAATCATTACTAGGGGGTTCCTATGATTCTGATTGTGAAGATGCACTTGTTTAGCACTGTCAGAAAGTCTTCCAAGACAGAGTCAGCACCAGGATCATGGGTTGTGAATGTAATAAAGATGTGCACATTATCAAGAATGTTTCAGAAAGTGCCATGTGGTTTTCTTCAGGAGCTGGTTTTAGGCAGAATTAATCCTTTTAGAGGGTTATTATATTGGATTGTCCTAGTTATGTCAAAGGATGGCCTGGGGGAGGGGATTTCTTCATTTGTCTGAACATTGCTGAACATTTAATTTCAAATTTTCTGCTTCGTGCATAATGAAAAATGTTCACTAAACTTGTGACACTGAATGTAAACTGTATTCTTGACATTTGAAAAATTTGAACTAGATTAATATTACAGAACTACATCTATTCTTTGTGACATCCCTCCCCCCAAATAAAATTGCTATTTTTAGATAAATTACTTTTCATTTTTCCTCTTATTTTATCTGCTACAAATGTAAGCAGTCACTTTTTTTAAAAAAAAAAATGGATATTGAAAGAAATTTACATTTTGGCAAACATGGCTTAATTTTGAATGCTGGTATACAATTTCTCACAGAAAGCCAGGGTCCTGGAAAACAGAATGTCCTTTTTTGAACCGCATTTTGAAAAGGGAAATTAATGGTAACTCTTGCTTTTTCAGGCTGTGCCATCCTGGGGGAGGACAAGCAAAAAGTAACAAAAATAGTTTTTGGCTCCACGCATCCACCAACGGGAATGCTGGAACCGGTGTCCTCTTTTTCTTCCCCTAGCAGAGGCCTCTCTGGCTACAGTGTGCCCGGTGGTGGCCATTTAATGTATTTCCACTTGGTACCCATCTCCGCTCTGCCCCCTGGTGGCCTCAGGCCACCATTGCTACCTTGTCACAGTTTGACCTTGTGGCTGCCAAGAGCCACCTCTCTTTGTGTCATTGTCCCCACTCTGACACGTCAGGTGTGGGGTGAAGCTGTTCTGGCTGAGGAGGAGGGGCTTTGTTTCTTTAGCACTTGCCAGCAATCATACACTCACTCTCTAATAAGCTCACACCCTCAGGACCTTCTAGCCCCTTTTCCTGAAAAACTCTACTCGAGCTCCCCTGACTCCACATCAAAGAACATGTAAGTGACACAACATATTGTTGCTTCAAAAAAGTTTCTCCCCTCTTCAACAGCTGGGACAACTGGATAGCCACAGGCAAGAGAACGATGTTTGAACACTACCTACACCATATGTAAGAATTAACTCAAAATGAATCAAAGACTTAAATGTAAGAGCTAAAACTATAAAACTCTTAGAAGAAAACAGGAGAAAAATCTTCATGACCTTGTATTTAGCAATGGATTCTTAGAAATGACACCAAAAGCACAAGCAACACATGACAAAAAAAGATATATTAGACTTCATCAAAATTATTTTGTGCATGAAAGGACATTATCAAGAAAAATGAAAAGAAAAACTACAGATTGGGAGAAAATCATGTATACATAAAGGGTCTAATATCCAGAATATATAAAGAACTCTTATGATTCAACAAGAAAAAGACAACTCAATTTAAAAATGGCCAGAGGACTTAAATCAACATTTCTCCAAAGAAATTATGCAAATGACCAACAGGCACATGAAAGATGCTCAACATCATTAATCATTAGGGAAATGCAAACTGAGATCACATTGAGATAGCACTGCACACGCACAATAATAACTATAGTAAAAAGCATGGTTAAAAAGATTGGTTAGGATGTAGAGAAATTGGAACCCTCGTGCATTGCTGATGGAAATGTAAGATGGTGCAGCCACTGTGGAAACAGTGTGATTGTTCCTGAAAATGTTAAACAGAATTACCATAAGACCCAGCAATTCTACTTCTAGGTGGAATAAAAACTTATCTCCACATTAACATTTGCACATGAATGGCAGCACTATTCATGATAGTGAAAAGGTGAAACAAT